TCCCACACTTCCAAATTCAGTGATAGCCAAAATATTTAACAGATAAGGGTACTTATAGCAAAACGGAGCACTAAAAGTGCCACATTTAGCCTAAGGTAAATTTAACCTTTTCAATGCTACACTGAGTGGTGTACCACTGATTATTTTATTATTGTTTTGCATTGTGCACTGTTCTGCTAAGTGTAGCTACTGGGAAGAGGATCTGGGGACAAGAGTTGTCCCAAGACCACTTGGAGCTTCCTACTCCTGCTTTATATATTCTACTTTCCTATTTACTAAAGACTCTCTGTACACACAATACACAAACAAAATGATCAGTTGTGCTCTTGTACAGCAACTAATTTATGCAAATAGTCTAAATAAGTAGCCCTAATCCAAATATAGTCTATGAAGAGTTTTGTTTCATTTGATTTTACTGCTAACATTCATTATTATATTTGGGATGCTAATATAGAAATAAGAGATGTTGAGACCTTCCTTGAATATTTTTCTGGTCAACTAAGACTGATGGGAAAATAACCATCTATAGCTGTTGAGAAGACAATTAGTACACATTCAGAAGAACCATACCTATCTATGGTAAGCCAGGATGTAGTCTGAGTCTATTATATTTCACAGTTAGTTTCTGACACAAGATGGAGTCTCTGCCTGTTGTAAATTAACATCAAAGCATGCAGATAATTGTTATTTGGTACATCTGTGATGGTTGTATTTTACATATATAGCAATTAGATAGGCTTCTATTTCCCTCTGTATAACCAAGGAAAGCTATATAAGCAGGGGGTTTTTCATTGTTGGGAAAGACACTTGCTGCTTTCAGGGATATTCTACCAGTTTCAACTATCTCGCCTGCGAGTTCAGGCTTTATTAAACCTACTTACTTGAATGACCCTAAATTCAGATTGACATTCTTCAGCATTACAAAAGCTGATTTCTGTGGATTTTAATATAAACTGGCCTTATCTACCCTTCCTGGAATAATGTGCAGATTACAGTGTAGTTATCTTTTGAACTTCACTTTTACCTAAGATTAATCTTTTTAGTTCAAGAAGCTAATTTTCATACTATATATATTTAAGATAAAATCCTTTAGCAATGTATACTTGGAAAGAAAATGCTTTTAAATTTACTTTTTATGGCAAAACACATTAAAGGATGAATTCAATACAGGTTTCATGCAGTTATTGTTTTAAACTGCAGATTAAAACAGAAATTATGATGGATTCCGGAAGTAGTTCAAGATATATGGAGGGCACCAGGCTGGGGAAGGGTGTGCTGGATTGTCCAAAGTCTCAGGCCGAAGCCAGCCTAGCAGTTAGAGGTAAGGCAATTCTTCTAAAATGCATTTTATTTATTTATTTATTTATTTAAACATTTCTATGGCGCCCCATTCGCTGAAGCCTCGTGTCAGCTCACAACATAAAATTAAAATATAATACATGCAACAAATTTACAATATCAAATAAGTCGCCCTGGCCAGATAAAATAAGCAACTGATATTAACAATTAAAATGACGTTTAAATAAAAAGGTCTTTGCCTGGCACTGAAAAACAAATAACGACGGCGCCAGGCGGACCTCTCTGAGGAGCGCATTCCATAGATTGGGCGCCACCGCAGAGAAAGCCCTCCTCCGAGTACCTACCCTCCTAATTTCTTTTATGGAGGGTTCCTGGAGAAGGGCCTCTCCCACAGATCTCAAGGGGCGGGTGGGCGTATATGGATGTAAGCACTCCTTCAGGTACCCAGGACCCAAGCCGTTTAGGGCTTTATAGGTCATCACCAACACCTTGAATTGGGCCCGGACTTCAATGGGAAGCCAGTGAAGCTGACGGAGGACTGCAGTCATGTGAACATAACGCCCAGTCCCCGTCAGCAGCCTGGCAGCTCTATTTTGAAC